CAGAGACCATGCCAACAATAAATGATTCTTTCAATGTTTTCAGCTTTAAAAACAATTGATGTCTATATGCTAATAATATGCTATGATTCTTCTGTGGTTCTTTCATGGTTCTTCCATGGATCTTTGAATCCATTTGAACAATGATCCTCTAAGTCTAAGACAAAGCAGAAGGACAGCTTCTATTCTACTTCCTGCTGCCAACTTCCTCTCCTGAACACAATTGTCTTTACATAGAGGGTGGTGCCACCCTCTATGTTTCTGTATCTGTTCTTGGAAAATGGTGTTTATGTCCTTAGCTCACTCTGACGCCGGCATGGACCACGTTCATATAGCCAAATGGAGCAGTTCCACTAGGGACAATATGACATACTGTTTTTCTGTGTCTCCTCCCCTTCTCAAACCAATCATCACCAACTCAACTGTAATGTTCTTTCCTACCAAACATATAGCATTGTTCAGGGCAAAAAAGGACAGGAAGGCTACTGATGACATCACTCAGCAAATGATGAACCTCGGCAGTGCAGAGGAAAACCACCTGCTAGCAGTTCTGCAAAAGGATGCAGAGCAGACATACGTGTTGTCCTCCTACAGTGTTCCAAGCAAGAAGATGCATAGATGAAGGACAGGCAGGTTGTGATCAAGCCTGCAGGCAGCCAGACCTGTCTGCTATCTAAAAATAGAACATTAAAACTATCTCAAATAGTAAGTCTAAACAAAAGAAGAAGAGAAAGCCAATGACTATTGGCATGCATATCAGCTTGATTCCTGACACACATGACTTTATTAACATGAGCTTTAGTTAACAAAATCATTCTCTTGACATAAGGGGGAAATAAGAGTCAAGTTGATCCCATCACATGCCTCAAAACTGTGCAAGAATCCTTAGGGAACTGAGCACTAGGATTCCATCAACAGGACGCCTAACCGTGGAACACCTGTTCAGCCACTGAATCAGCAGTTCATTCCTATTTCTAGTTACTATAAGTCAGAAGTGAATAGACAAAACATTATTATTATTAAAAATACAGTGCAGGAATCCTTAGGGCACTGGGCACTAGGATTCCATCAACAAGACCCCTAACCGTGGAACACCTGTTCAGCCATCAGCCAAACTGGCACGAACCACTGAATCAGCAGTTACTATAAGTCAGAAGTGAGTAGACAAAACATTATTATTATTAAAAATACTGGGCATAGTATTGTGTGAAATTTCTTGATCTTGTTTCCCAAATCCTAATGACTATGGAGACCACTGAAGTGTGTTTCATCAATAAGTGAGATGTTTCAATTGCCAGATCTCTATATTTTGTTAGTTTTTCCAGTTCTTTGTTCTCAACTCTGGCATCACCTGGAATTGCAATGTAAATGATCCAGACATTTCTTCATTCTGTTGTGTTATGTTCAAGGTGTCTATATCAGTTTGGATCTGGAAATCCCACAGGATCTTGACTTCATAATTTTCTGACACCTTCTCTACCTGGTGTTCTCATGTGTTTTTGGAGGCTGGCAAGTTATATTATTATTCAAAAATTCAAAACACAGTCTTTGGCTGGCATTATATAACAAATACAAGTTTTAACCAAAAATCTAAGTATCAGTTAAACATCAATGTAATATGTATGCTGTTTCCAATATTGCTGGTTTTGGCAGCTCTAATGGTGTTATTTCAGAAATCTGCAGCTGATTATAACACTTCCTAAAATGCCACAGCATTGTTGCCAATGCCTCAATGACTATGTGACAATTGAAATGTGTTTCATCTGCAAGCAAATTATTTATTTTGCCAGGTCTCTGTATTTTGTTAATTTTTCCTATTTCGTATCCTCAGCTCTGGCATGCCCTGGAATCGCAGTGCTTGTTCTATTAATGTTATATCTGGTGTATTATGCTCAAAGTGTCTGTCCGTTTGAATCCAGAAGTCTCACAGGATCTTAACTTGGTCATTTTCTGACACCTTCTCTACCTGATGTTGCCACAGATTCCTGGTCGCTGGCAGATAATACTTTTAACATAATGACCAGTGTTAGAGATGGGCTCATGCATCTGCTGCTGCCGCCAGCTCCATTCTCCCTTCCAATTGCTCCGGAGTTCTCATTCCACTATCCATTCCTGGAAGAAGGAGGGAAGACAAGCCTCCCTGCCAGGCTGGTGATTAGATAGCCAACTGTGAGCTCTGGAGCAGCTGGAAGGGAGAGTGGAGCTGGTAGCGGCAGCGGACGTGTGCGTGGCTGGTTTGGCCCCAGGGGGCCAGACCCTCATTACATCCAGCTGTGTGTGGGTGTTTGTATAGGGATGCCCTCATCTCTAATCAGTGTACAGTATTAATTTTGCAGCTCTATAATGTCTAGCTATGTAGTCTGTCTGCACAGTCTTTGAACATTTGCCAATGAGGTGTGACAGTTTCATCTTTTTCTTGGCAGAGTTGACATTTGATGTGTATACTAATTACTTGAATTTTACATGACATTAGTTTGGAATGCTTGTTTTTGTGCAGCAAAAATGAAGCCCTCAGTTTCTTTCCTGATGGTCCCGTTTCAGCCATGCCCAGATTAATTCATTATCATGTTTTCCATCAATATTTTCAGCTGTTGTCCATGCAATGTTTTATTTTTCCAGCTATTTATCTTAAAATTGTTGTTTCTTCTGTTCAATGTTTGCTTCTATTATTTTCAAGATATTTTCCATTTTCACTGCTTTAAGTAATTTTACTACTTTTATTAATATAGAATATTCTATATTATTCTATTAATATTCAGGCTTCTTTTTTCTTCCTCTATTACCTGTTATATTTTTAACAATCCACAACCTCCAGGCTTCTTCTTCTTCATTCCCACTTGATCCTCTACTCACCACATTGGCCTTCTTCTGAAAAGCAGGGATATATAAACTTTTGTCAGTAACATGCATATTACTATGGCTGTGGCTTTTCCCAAGGTCCCTGCTACCTTCAACATTATTAAAATAGTATTTTAGTTCATGTGGATCCTGGGAAAGACAGGCAAACTGATATTGTGCCACAGCACACCCCTGTTTAGCATTACTATCTTCTACCACAACAAGGAACAAGAGGGACAATTGTTTAATCAAAACAGCTATCAAGCAACTCTTCGTGTAGTGTTGTACTCTATGACTCAGCTTCTACCACAACAAGGATCAAGAGGGACAATTATCTAATCAAAACAGCTATCAAGCAACTCTTCGTGTAGTATTGTACTCTGTGACTCAGGCTCAGATCATACACTTGGCACACATTTTGAAGGCATGTACCTTGTCATGACATGTGATTTTTATTTTTCGCAATGATGATTTGTATGCTTTCTTTTGTGATTGGTTTTTGCATTAACTTTTTTCTAATTTTAAATTTTTCTTAAACTACGACATAAACATAAAATACATAAGCCAAAATACAAATCGATTGTGTTCCCCACCACCATAGTCAATACATCTTGCAGTAATCCTCTTCTTCCTCTGTTTTTATTCTTCTTCCTTTATTGTCTTCTTCTCCAGAACTGCATTGATTCTTGATTTGGAGCTTTCCCTTTTCCTCTTGTTAGCACATATTCAAGAAATCTGCCCCATATATCATAGAAATTATTTTTTTTCATCTCTCATTTCTTAACCTTTAAGTTACAAGTTAACTTATCATTTATAGCAGTGTTCCATATTTCATTATACCATTCTTCCATTTGAAATTCAAACTTTGATTTCCAATTCCTAGCTATTATTAATCTCGTCGTTTAGTCGTTTAGTCATGTCCGACTCTACGTGACCCCATGGATCAGAGCACGCCAGGCCCTCCTATCTTCCACTGCCTCCCGGAGTTGTGTCAAATTCATTTTGGTAGCTTCAATGACATTGTCCATTAATCTAGCTGCTGTTAATAAATTTGTAATCAACTCTCTAGTCATCTTATCATATTCCACATTCTCAAATATTGATTACAGAGCTATTAAATTCTATATCTTTTCACATATGTCATTTAGTTCTTTAAAGATTAGTTTCCAAAATATTTATACTTTTTCACATTCCCACCACATATGAAAGTATGTACCAATTCCCTTCTCACATTTCCAGCAGACATTCAGATAACTAGTGTTAATTTTATTTTGCATTAATTTAATGAACTAAATTTCATATAATGTGCACATCTGATTGCTGAGGCACACATCTTTAATGTAGCCTGTTGTGGGAGGGAAAATGGGTTAATCACAGGAGCCACACATTTTCCTTAACGTCCAGTTTGAGCGCAGAAAAGAGGAGCAAATCCCCACCCACGTGGAATAAGATATGTGACAACTCTCTAATTTCCTATACTGAATTGTGACAACTTATGTTGGACACAATTGATGTGTGCATAGGTAAGGTAAAGGTTCCCCTTGACAATTTTTGCCCAGTCATGTTCGACTCTAGGGCGCAGTACTCATCCCCGTTTCCAAGCCGTAGAGCCAGCATTTGTCCGAAGACAATCTTTCCGTGGTCACATGGCCAGTGCGACTTAGACATGGAACGCTGTTATCTTCCCACCGAGGTGGTCCCTATTTATCTGCTTGCATTTGCATGCTTTCGAACCTGAACCTGAACTGGTGTGGGTGGGGTGGAAGTGGGACTGTGACATTTTGAAATGTTGTGGCCCAGAAATGTGAGATGTGATTATAACATGGGGGTTTGAACAACAATGAACTGCCTGGTAGAGGTGACTTCAGGGTTAGCAGATGTAACCTCACTTCTCAGCATTGGTGTTTAATCACGCTGGCACTCTCACTGTTATCTGTGGGTGTTTGCCAGCACTTACTGTCTTAAGATTTCAGGGAAGGGTTCACCTCTGTGTGACTGCCGTGTTAATTTCCTGGTGTCAAAAAAGCATGTTTACTGAGTCGGAGAGGTAAACCACACCTGTGATTTTAGCCATAGAGAGAATGTTTTGACAGTATTCAATTGGAGCAACCTGTTTCTTTTCTAGTTGTTACTGCTTTATTTTTATTTAAAAATTAAAAGTTCTGTGTCACCTTGGATACTCCTTGGGTGTCTGAGTGCAGCCAAGTTCTCCTTGGCTTCTTTCCTTCCTGTGAACTCTTTGTTTACTTTAGTTGGTCCTTGCAGGAAGTCAGAGCTAAAATAGGTGCAGTCATTGGGAGTGTAATTGCCATGTGGAAAGCCCGCATTCCTGTCTCTCTCCAGGGTGGGGATAATTGTGTCTCCCCTTTGGGGCACTGATGTGCTTCTGCCAGCCAGGCAGGCGACTGAAAGAGAGAGCAACTGGTCCCTCTCCCAAAGTCTGCTTTCTTGGCAGAGAACTTCTCTCCTGCCCAGAAGACTTCCCCAGTAGCCATGCTGAAGCAAATCCTCAAAGACATGTATGTGGACCCAGAACTCCTGGCAGAGCTCAGCGAGGAGCAGAAGCAGATTTTGTTCTTCAAGATGAGGCAGGAGCAGATCAGAAAGTGGAAGGAAAGAGAAGCAGTGGCAACTCCATCAAAACTGGCACCGAGGAAAGGTCAGTGTGTGAGAGGATTTGGCAGAACCCGGGAGGGAATCCACGATTATTTGGCCTTGGTGGTGTCTATGCTGATGTTAGTGCTGTACCCAATAATTTGGAGAAACCATATCTCTGTTGGTGCCGGTGATGGGTGCACTAATTTTGGTTATGTTTATTGAGTTGTTGTTGTTTTCTTTTGTTGTTGGTGTTTGTATATTGTTGCCTTGTTACTGCCTCTTTTTATAAGATAGTGCTGTACCCATTCAAATACATTACCAGGTCAATTTGCTGTACAATAGAATACAATGTAATGCAATTTTGGGGGTGTAAAAAGTACTTTCCTTGTGACGTAAATAATACTTTGCTTTTATATAGTGCTTTAGGATACTAATACAAACAACTACCTAGTTAGACTAGCCAAAATTATTCCTCTGCTCCTTCAACACAAAGAGAGAGAAGGAGAAAGGTTGTCTGATTTGTAATACGTTTATTAAAGGTGAGATTTAAGGTGATGATTTTCCATTTCACATGGTTATGTCTCCAGACTATTAGTTAAATCAAATACACAGGCAGCCAATTGTTCAGCAACAATTGTTGAAGTCAGGTTGATCCACTCCAGTAGCTTTTATACACAGGCAGAAATTTCTCTGCTCCACTACAGATGAATGGTTTCCTCATAAACATTACTTAACACTGTGTATGTCTTCCTTCCTGCCTTGGAGAAGGAAGTCTGGAAAAAGAATGAGAGTTTTGAAGGCACCAAGCACCTGTGGTATGAGAAAGCAACAACAAGTCCATTTATGTTCCTCCATAAGAGGAAGAGTGCATGAACTTGCATGCATTTCCTTTTCTGTAAATTACTCCTATGGAACTCTCTGGACCATTATAGTTCCAGTTTTCTTTTTTATTATTTTTACAGTATTTTTAAAATGAAAAAAGTTACAGAAAAGAAAAAAACCAAAAAAGCAAACATAACTAAATGATACCTTAATAACACAAAAATACATAAACAAAGTACATAATGTGCCCCCGGCCCATCAAGACCATATATAACCATTTTTCCTCCATCTACGAAGCCCTATTCACCTTCCAAAGCTACACTGATTCTTGCAAAGATGCACAACCCTTCCATTTTATTAACAGAAAGTCGATCAAATCTCTCCAAATATCAATAAAATATTCTTATTCATCTCACCTTTCTTTGATTTAAAATTACACACTAATTTATCATTAATATTTACATTCTAAACTTCTTTATACCATTTACCCAATTGAAAATCATGCTTCACTTACCAAAACCTTGCTATCATTAATCTTGCTGCTGTTAAAAAAAATTGAAATGAAACCTTTCGTTGCCAAAGTCCATTGCTTCTTATCAAATATTGATAAGAGAGCCATCTTAGGGGCTTGCCTCTATATTTAACTTAATTATTTCATTTATTTCCTTGAAGACTGACCTCCAGACTTTTGATATATTCTCACATTCCCGCCACATATAGAAATAACTGCCTACTTCCTTACATCCTCTCCAACATCAAGAAATAACTACCTACTTCCTTACATCCTCTCCAACATCAGTTAGAATATTTAGTATCTATATGATTTAATTTCACTGGAGTTAAATACCATCTCCAGAGTAATTTATAAAAATCTTCCTTTATCCTTATGCATATGCACATTAATATTCTTTTATCCCATATAGTCTTCCACAGCTCGGAACTTATTTCTTTTCCCAAATCATATTTCTATATTGCTTTAAGAACATCTTGCTAGCCTTCTGCTTCTATTAAAATCTTATAAACTTCACTTGTTGTCCCTTTCACTATCTTATTTTCATTGACTTCAGTAAGGCATTTGATAAGGTATACCACAACCTACTTCTGCATAAGATAGAACAATGTGGGATAGACAGCACAACTACCAGAGGGATTTGCAGATGGCTGACCAACCGCACCCAAAGTGTGGTCCTCAATGAAACCACATCTACTGGGAGGGAAGTGTGCAGTGGGGTCCCTCAAGGTTCTTTCTTAGGCCCAGTGCTCTTCAACATCTTCATAAATGACCTGGATGAGGGGACTGAAGGAGCACTCATCAAATTTGCTGATGACACAAAGCTGGAGATAATTGCTAATACTTTGGAAGATAGACTCAACATTCAGAAGGATCTAGATCAGGGGTGTCCAACCTTTCATTTTCCCTGGGCCACATTAGAAGATGAAAATTTGGTTTGGGCCGCACATACATTTGGTTTGGGCCACATGGGGGGGGCAGCCCTAGCTGCCCAAGCGCGCTTACCGGCAGCTGCGATCTCAGACAGCAGAGGTTGCCAGCTTTGACTCCGGCGGCTTTATGGGGCTGGGAGGGGGTCCATCTATTGACGGGGACGGCGCAATGCAGTCATGCAGCTCCCCTCCCCTCTCACTCCTTCCTTCCTTCCTTCCCTCTCTCCCACTTTACTGTTGTGACATGCCCCAGCCACATTCCGGCCGCAAGCGCTGGCAGTGTATCTTGAAACTTTGGAATTTCTTTTAAAATAAAACATTGCACTGGGCCGCATTACGAGTTGACCTGGGCCGCATGCAGCCCTCGGCCGCAAGTTGGACAAGCCTGATCTAGATAGACTCGAACATTGGGCCCTATCCAATAAGATGCAGTTCAGTGGGGGGAAAAGTAAGGTCCTGCACTTAGGCAGGAGAAACCAGATGCACAGGTACAGGATAGGTGGTACCTGGCTCAACAGCAGTGCAGTGGACCCTCTACTTAAGGAATTAATCTGTATTGGAATGGTGGCTGCAAGTCGAAAAGTCTGTAAGTCGAGCCGTCTGTAAGTCGAGGGTCCACTGTACCTGTGAGAGAGATTTAGGCGTCCTGGCGGACCACCATTTAAGGATGAGTCAGCAGTGTGCTACAGCTGCCAAGAAAGCCAACACAGTCTTAAGCTGCATCAACAGGGGGAATAGCATCAAGATCACGGGAAGTAATAGTACCACTCTATACCGCACTGTTGAGGCTGCACTTGGAGTGCTGTGTCCAGTTCTGGTCACTGCAATACAAAAAAGACTCTGAGGCCTTGGAAGGGGTGCAGAGAAGAGCAACAAAGATGATAAGGGGACTGGAGGCTAAATCCTATGAAGAACGACTAAAAGAACTAGGTATGTTTAGCTTAACGAAGAGAAGACTGAGGGGAGACATGATAGCAGCCTTCCAAAATCTGAAAAGCTGCCACAGGGAAGAGGGCATTGATTTATTTCCAACTGCACTCAAGGGTAGGATAAGAATCAATAGATGGAAACTCATCAGAGGGAGATCCAACCTGGAAATAAGGAGGAATTTCCTGACAGTGAGAACCATTAAGCAGTGGAACAGCCTGCCTCCCAATATCGTGGCTGTCCCATTGCTGGAGGCTTTCAAGAAAAGGTTGGACAGCCATCTATCCAGGATGGTATGAGGTCCAAGATGGTATGAGGTCTCCTGCCTTGGACAGGGGGTTAGACTAGAAGACCTTCAAGGTCCCTTCCAATCCTACAATGATTCTATGATTCTATGACTTTTTCCTTATGTAACACCGAATCTTCAAATCTTTTAAGATCCTTATAAATACCATTTCTTTTTATACAGTCTTTAGTCTATTTCTCTAACTGAATAAAATTAAACCAATATATTGTTTCCAATCCTAGTACTGTACTGCTATTATTTGCTCATTATCATCCACCTTTCCCAACCAACCTTTTGATTTAATAACTTGGTTCTTCATAAACAAATTTTGACTGTATCATGATGCAGGAATCCTGGCTCTGCAGCTCCTGTTACATAAATGGGTGCAATCCTTCTGCTTACCTGTGTAGAAACTCAAAGGAAGCCCCCAAGGGGGACTACAGTCAACCCTCGACTTACAAATGGCCCTAGTTACAAACATTTCGACTTACAAACTGCTCTGATAGAAAAATATTGACTCGACTTGCAAACTTAGATTCGAGTTACAAACCGAAAAAAGTGTGGGAGGTGGAGAAAGCGCGAAATTTGAACTTTCAGTTAACTGTTGGCCAGTGAAAAGGGTGCCTGTCTGCTTCCTCACTCTTCACAGCATTTTGAGAGTGGATTTGGAGACAATCTTCAGACTGCCTGGTACTGCCTGGTATTGCCTGGCATTGCCTGGTACAGTGCTGTATGGACTGTATTTTTATTTTTTTGACTTTTTTTAATGTTTGCTTTTTGGATTTTTAAAAGGTGTTCCCTCCCTCC